TTTTTTTTTTTTTTTGGTGGTGCCAGGAATTGAACCCAGGGCCTTGTGCATGCTAGTCAAGCACTCTACCAACTAAGCTAGATCCCCAGCCCATGTATGTATGTATGTATGTGTATATATATATATATACATATATATATATATAAAACTGTATGACCAATGTGTTTCTGCAACCTGTACAATCAGAAAAAATGAGAACTTATACCCCATTTGATTCAAATGTATGAATTGTCAAGATCATTGTACTGTCATGTGTAACTAATAAAAAAATAAAATTAAATAAAGGACCTAAAGAAGAGGAGATATAACATCAGATTTTGAATTTTTTTTAACTTTTTGAGGACTGAATTAAAAAGTCTACCCCTATAAGGATCTCTGATACATAGCATTCCAAATTCACAAAATAAGAATATTTGATTGGCATCTAAAATGTATAATTTCCTAACATGAATTTAGAACTCTGACTCCAATGTTACTAGAAAAAGTAACGACTTTTAAGTTCTGGAACCAAGTATAAGGCATTGACCGCCAGACCAGTGCTGGCTGTTTTGAGATTCAGACAGAGGAATATGAGTGTGAACAACGGGTTTACCATGCTACCCTGTCACGTATTTCCTTATACTAAGACTTTAGTAGAAATCAGTGCAACCTCTGGCTAATGTGGCAAAATGTCAAAAGATAAGATGGAGCTTTGTGGCTATTCTCAAAGCATTAACACATTTTTGGAAACAGGAAACTATTAGATAGTAAAGAATCTCCTTTATCTTTTTTTTTTTTTTTTTTTTTTTGGTCTACAACTTTACTATTAGTATACCTTTTACTCCCACCTTGCCTTAATCAAGTCTCACTTGTATGGAAAATCAGCTTAGTGCTTTCTTTAAGAACAGGCCATCCATTAATTGATCCAGTGTGTTGCCAGTCCTGGAAAACCTTTTTAGAAAGGACCAAATGATGCCTTACTTTGTGCTCAAAGAAGCTGAGTTTAAAATTTCATGCTTATGCACAAGGACATATTTAAAGAATCCTGTAAAGTCAGTTAACAATTCTCTTGGAGTTTAAGAAACCAAGAAAACCTTTCCTTCATACCTTTCTTCCCACCCTCTGGATCTTCTACATTAAACTAAATGTTTATTTAAAGATACTTTACATGACTTAAAGTGTTCTTCCAGAGTCCTAACATCTTTGGACATCAAATTTAAGCAGCACTCCTCTGATTAGGGTCAGAGAATAATCTTTTTTCTCCTAGAAAACTGTTTAACTCAAGGAAATATAAAGAATATTTCTAAAGTACTGTATCCTAACTTTTCTAAGGTAACTGGCCTCCCTCCTGTTGGTAACTAACACAGCACTGCGCTTTTTCTGGCCTGTGTTTCCTAAGTCTCTAACATTTCCCCTCCCCACCTACTTGTGTTAAGGTTGACAAATTTCCTTGACTACAACAGCTGGTGTTGATTACCAGAGGCAAATCCATGATATATTTCACTAATAGGAGACATGAGCTCTTGGAATGGAAACTTGTCCCCAAAGAGAACACCTCCATGAATGTAGCCAAAGTTTGGTGTTCCATTTCAGTGTTTTTTGCTTTTTTTAATCTGGCTCCAAAAGAAAATATTTTTGATTAGGCTACTCTGGTCAGAAAACACATCTGCCACTTCTGTCCCTCTTGCCTTCCACTGTATGCCACAGCCTCAGGCCAGGAGCCCCTCTAAGGAAGGAGGTCTACTTCTCAGGCACACAGATACAAGCAGTACCCTTCACTCAAGGAGGCTCCTCTGCTAAACCTAGTGGCTTATGCTAACAATCCTGAAAAATAGAGCTTTTAATTTTTTTTTTTTCCTATCAGGGAAGCATTGCACATGTCAGAAACAAGTGTCATCAAGTTGAACTTTGGGGTATATTTCTAGTTCTGGTACTTAAGATCACCAGAAAAGCTTACTTTTTTCCCCACCCTGAAATCGCCTTATTCTTGCCAGAAAGAAAATTTTGAACATATTTAAATTTCCAATCAGGCAAGGGGTAATGGAACACTGGAAAAGCAGTTATAACTTCATGGCCACGATGCTCTTCTTGGCTTGCTGAGGATTGTTTTTATTCACCAATGTGCGTGCCTGTCAGTTTCTCAGGATGACAGCCTGGCAGAGCTCAGTTACTTTCAATATTATTTATGACGTGCGTAAAACCAGTGAGGGAGGGGGGACTGTTAATCTCCCACGAAGAGCGGAAACCTAACTTGCAGAAGAAGCAAGTTTGCAGTGGCAAGCTGCTAGCAGGTAACTCTACCCACCTCCTGATACACAGACACATGCATCAGGGGAGCACCTGATGCACACACCCGAGTGCAGAGCGAGTTATCAGATACACCGGCTCCCAACAGGTGCAGAACCGGCCACTAACCAAGACCAATATCCGAACCCTGTCTTCCAAAGCCCGCCTTCCAAAGTCTTCTCAGAAAAGTTAGCCCACCTCAACAAAGCCGCGTCCGAGCGGCGCTATGTCAAGCTCTTTGATATTTGCCTAATATAGTGCATCCTCTACTCTTTGTAATCCCCCGCCCCCAAAGTGACGCGGGGCAAAACTTAATAGGTCCGGGGAACCGAGACGCGTCTTCCGCGCAGCACGGACTTTCCAGAAAGGAGCTGGGCTGCAGGAGCTGGATCTTTCTCGGCGCCTCGGTCCTCTGTCTCCCCTCCCCCGCACCCGCCCAGCACCCGCCGGGGCAACTCACCTGCGTGGGGCATGGTGATGGTCTCGTTGGTGTTGGAGCCCGCGTTGAAGATAACCACAGCGGAGGCGTTCTGCAGGAACGCGTTCCGGATCTTATCCCTGTACGTGCAGTTGCCCTTGGGGATGAGGGCTATCCAGTTCTTGCCGTGGGTCGGCGCGGCGAACTTGGTGTTGGGGTCGCAAGCCAGGCGATCGTGGGCCGAGCTGGCCATGACCACCTCCCCGCGGGCGTCCTGCTTGGGCGAGTGCTCCCCGTAGCGCCCGCACTCTGTCTTCTCCGTGTGCAGCTCGGCGCCGCCGCCGCCGCCCGCAGCCCCGGCCCCGGGGTCCGGCGCGGGCTCGGCGTAGGTGATGTTCACGAAGGCGGTATACCATTCCTCCTTCTCGGCCACGGTGAAGTCCAGGCAGAGCAGATGCACGAAACAAAAGGAAAGCAGCCATGTTGAGAGAGCCAGACTGCGGCACGCTTGGATGAGAGACATTGCCATCTTTATCCACCGGGGCCCCCTCCCCGCCCCCCGCGCCCTCCTCCCGCCCCGTCCCTCCTCCCCAGCCCGGGCCAACCCCGGGCCGGCCGCTTCTCCAGCTGCTGCTGCTACTGCTCACTCCCGGGCCCGTGGGGCCGCGGCTGGGACGCGCAGCCGCCTCGGGGACCAGATTCCGGGCGAGCGGGTGGCGCCGGCCCCTTCGCCTCTTAGCCGAAGAGCGGCGGTTGCATCTTGCTTCTCCGGCGCGCTGGGGGTGAGAAAGGAGGGGGCGCTCCGGCTTGCGGAGGAGTCCAGCTGCCAAGCGTCCTGCTCCTTCGGCCGGCTTCTTCTCTCATGGGGTGGCAGGGGGCCCAGGAGCGTGCGGGGTGGCAGCTCTGCCCGCTCCGGCTCCGGCGGGGGCGGGCGCGGCCGTTCGCAGGCGGGGTGTCCCAGCAGCCGCAGCCGAGCGCCGGGGTGAGCGGGTCCGGCCGCAGCCCTGGCGGCCGCCCCCACTGCGCGCCGGTTCGCTGGGGCAGCTGCGTGCGCTCCTGGCCTGGCTGATGGCTGTGCCGGGACACACGCTTGCAGCGGGAGGGGTCGGCTCAGGGAGAATGGGAGAGAGTGGGAAGAGAGGAGTTACGCGGTCCGTGTGTGTGTGTGTATGAGTGTCTGTATATGTTTGTGTGTGTGTATAATGTGTGCGTGCAAGGAGGAGCTTAGTGTGATGTCAAAGCTTCTGGGCTTCACTTGACACGCTCCCTCAGTCTCTCTCCATGGACAGCAGCGACCCCTGCCGGGTCTCACATTCACCGTCAGTTTGCGACATAATCCAGGTGGGGGCAAAAGGGGAAGCGACCCCTTGACCTATAAGTACAGAAACAACTTCCTGTGCCTTAAATATAGCAAAATGTGCCTCTTGTAAACAACCTTTTCATTTGCTGGAAGAACTACGGTGAGCTTCCTAAGTACCGGACCCGGGACCAAAGTCTAAATCTTGTTAGTCTCAAGGTCTTTTAACACTGCTCCTGAAATATCTAGAACATTGTCTATTAAACTTTAGTTTTAAAACAGACTAATGGGCCTTGTGAAGTTTCTGGTGTAGTAGACCTTGGTTGGGCCCCAGAACACACATTTCTAAGGAGTTCCCAGATGATCTAATGCTGCTGGTCTAGGGACCACTCTGTTAGGGTGGGTATAGGAATAGGCAGGCTTCTTTTCTCCCATCTGGAAACAAACACGTGACATTTTCCCCCCTTATAAAATGGACATTGTCTAACTCTGGAGGAAAAGAGACTGGATGAGCCATTTCTCTCTGTATTTATTTTGGTTGTCATGACTGGCATCAGAGCACTCACAACATCAATAGGCAAGGGAGATTTGTTTGGGTTACTGTTTAGCAAGTGCTCTCCAGTTGAGCATGTAGATTACAACTACTCAGCAGAGAATACGGTTTCCCTAGAGTAATCTTAAAACTGTGGCACAGAATAATTACTTACCAATTAAGTGCTTGGTTGTTATCCTTTCTCACCTATGGTTTCCTTGGTTTAAGAAACCGAAAATATAAAGTGTTGAAAAATATTTGTGTGGTGGTTCTCAATCACAGGTATTTCCCCCCTATCACTCACAGAACCAGGACCCAATTCATATCAAAAAGCAAAAAGTCCACCATTTCCCCAGGACCTGAATACCTGTACAGCTCTCTGTTAATGAATGTCCACCAGCAAAACTTCTTTTTTGGGCAGCAGTACAAACAGCTGGTGGCTGTTAGGGGAGAGCAGAGAGCCCCAGCTATACCCAAATTAGAAGCAGGCACAAGAACTACTTAGAAGAATCTGTCTCTATGGTATTTGATGTGCTGGATTTGTATGTGTTCCTAGCTTATTCGTTTTAGAAAATAGGCTTCTAGGCAATTGGGACAGTGCTTTTTATAGTGCCTAATGCCCAAGGAGGCAAAGTGGAGATGCCTGGCTGCTGGTTTCTGAACCACCAGAGATCTGAGGGAGGAGTACATTGGCTCCAAACCCCCAGGTAGATTCTGCAAAAAATGCAAACCACGGTGATTCCCCAGACCTATCTTTTAGCAGTTTTCCTCTAGCCACAAAACTTGGAGAATCTGTGTCATGAAGAATGTATGACTCTCCTTCTGTGCCCTTTCCCTTAGAGAAGTTAGGGACTGAAGATAGGCAGTCAGGAAGGCAGAAGCATAAGTACTCTCATAAGGAAAATGGGAGCCAGCTTCTTACTGTTGGAGAAGGAATTTGTAAATATTGAAAAAAAAAACTATAAGAAACTGTGAGGTATGGGATTGGATTAAAAATGAGCATGGAATTACTTTTTAAAAAAATATATGTGTCAGGTTGTGTTGTGGCTCAGTGGTACAGCACTTGCCTGGCATGTGTGAGGCACTAGGTTTGATTCTCAGGACCACATATAAATAAATAAAATAGAGTCCATTGACAACTAAAAAAATTTTAAATATATATATATATATATATATATATATATATATATATACACACACACACACACACACACACACACACACACGAACACATATAACAAATCTCTCTCCATTCAGACTCTCGAAGCAATGATCAGAAATCTTGCTTTCTAAATACTCACCTTCAAAATGAAAGGTCTATCCTCTCTAAAACTCTTATGAAAGAGAAAGAAGAAAGAAGAACTAACTGATCCAAGATGAAGACACAAGACTTGACGATTAAATGCAACAAATGTTCCTGGATCCTCTTCTGCACTGGAAATGAAAACTAAACACTTGGCAAAAAATGAATAAAGGCTGTAGATTGGGTAGTATATTTCACCTGGGGTGATTTCCTGATTTGAATATTTACCATGAAGTTTTGTGGAGAAGGTCCTTGTAGGGATATGCCCACTGAAGTATTTAGTTGTTACGAGGTGTTCTATCTGCAACTTGCTCTTACATGGTTCAAGAAAAAAAATGAGAAAGAAAATCTACTATAAAATCTTTGTTTTCTCTGGCCACACTTCAGAAAACTTGGGAACTCAGTTCATGATGTTAAAAAGTCAAAGTTCATTTTTTCTGGAGGAAGGACATTAATATGCTTCCAACTTTGTGCTAATGATTCTTCTCCAGCACAATTATGCACATTTTCAGTGGCATATTTCACCTACTGAGCTGGTGTTTGGGGAAAACATAGATCCCTTATCACATCTGCTGCCATATATATGACATTCTTATAGAGAAAACACCTCTGTATTTCTTCATATCACAATTTTTTTTATTTTTTAGTTATAGGTGGACACAATACTTTATTTTGGGGTGGTGCTGAGGATTGAACCCAGTGCCTCACAGATGCCAGGAGAGCACTCTACCACTGAGCCACAGCCCCAGCTTCATATCACAATTTTTACTGAGCATTTTGATACATTAGTTAGTGGTCCAGGCACTAAATTTACAATTGGGAATGGAAAAAGATAAAGTTCTTGCTCTGTGGAATTGACATTCTGGAGCCAGAGAAAACAGAAATGTTTGAGAGTTTCCATAATGACAAGCAATAACAGGTGCTATGAGGAAAAGGCAGTAGAGCACCTGTAAGATAGGTAGTTTATTTTGCATAAGGTGCTACTTTATATCAGGGTCAGTTGCTCTGATGAGATGATGTTTGAATAGAATCCTGAAAGAAGTGGAATTCATAACAATGTTTGGGAGACCAGCTGTACCAGGAAGAGGAAATCAGAAGAACAAGGTCCCTGAGGGCAAGATTGTTTATATACAAATAAAATTTCTTTTAGTTGTCAATGGAACTTTATTTTTATTTATTTATACATGGTGCTGAGAATCAAACCCAGAGCCTCACACATGCCAGGCAAGCACTCTACCACTGAGCTAGAACCCCAGCCACTGAGGCTCGAGAACAGTGAAAGAAACAGAGAGTAAAGGAGATGAGATCGGAAGAGATGGGAGGGCAGATCATATGTGGCAGTCAAAGTGAGAATGCTTTGGATTGTATTTTGGGTGATAGGAGAATCCCTTGAAGATGTTTGAGTTCCTACTTTTGCAAGTATATGATGTGTTTTAAACGGTTTATTCTGACAGTTGTTGGAGCAAGTATGGAAGCAAGGAAGACAGTTAATGAACTATAACAATTTTGGAAATGGAAACTAGTGACTATGACAGGGAGGTGGCAATGAACCTGTTGAGATGTGATTATCTCCTCAGTGCATTTTGAAGGTGGAACAAACGGTATTTTTCCCTGGTACCTTTGATGTGGAGTATGAAAGAAAAGCAACTGGCAAGATGGGGTTGTCATTTTCCAAGATGAGGAAGATTGCAAGCAGAACTGGTTGGGATAAGAATCAAGAGTTTTGGAGAGGTAGAGTTCAAGGTGCCCAGAGGTATCCAAAATGGCAATTAGATGCAATTTGCCTCAGCATTGTGTGTGAGAAGGGAGATTACTAGATCAAAGCACTTGAAGACTTTTCAAGTTATGTGTTTTACCATATAGGATTACCAAATCACTTTTTCAAAAGTTGGCATCACCAGGCACCAGGGTAAAGTGAGCTCCCACAAACAGCTTTTGAAATATTCTCAGAGGACAGCTCAGCAACGAATCCTGGCCTGTGGGAGGATTTTCTCCACCAGTCAAGCGGCCTAGGCCAAATAGAATTAGTAGTTTCCACAGGGTTCTTTGATGTAGGGAGATGATCTTGTTTTAGACAGGGTGGGAGCAGATTTGACTTAAACACATGCAACATGTTTGTGTCTGAGTCAGAAACAGAGCAGCCAGTGCAGAGAGTGGTAGTGCCCCGGTTCTCTGGGTGCTAGCTGATTGGGCTTTCCCTAAGAGGCTCTCAACCTTGACACTGCTTTTTTATCTCACCATTAATGTGCAGAGCTTATTCAAAGGGAATCTGACCTTTGACTTCTAAGAAGTGTATAGTAGCATTCGACAACACCATTCCTCCTACGCTTACATACAAATTTTTATGCTTTAGTAGAATTCTTATGCACAGATGATTTAACATACAGGGTTTAATGC